CGCACGTGAATTCTCAATCAAATTAAAAAAAAAAAAAAAAAAAAAGTCGGTTAAAACACCATTTTGGTCCCTTCGGAATAAGGACTAGTTTTAAGAACAGGAAAGTATAGAGGCAAAATTTAAAGTACAAGGATTAAAAGAATGTTTAAACCTTTATTCTCTCATTCATGAGAAACATTTTAAGAAAATTCAGCTTGTTCTAAAACAGAAAAAAGAAAAAAGAAACAGATTCCACCAATTTTTTTCCATTGAACTGTATTAGTACCTGCCCATCAGCAATTATCAACAGAACGTGATACTGGCCACCACTCTGCTCCACAATTGTCGTTGCCATCTCAATAACAGGTGCAAATGACGTTGGTCCTGTTATAGAATAACAAATGACCTCGTAAGAACCATTACATGTATGTGAGAAATAATTTGATAAAATATAAAGTATGAAGAAGTAAATGTATTCTGGAACCTGCAAGACGTAGATGGGGAACGATTTCCCTATAACGATTCAACACGTCCTCAAATCCATTACAAAATCTCCCTTCTGGATAGAAACTAAAGACATCTTGATCGTGTGTAGATGCTGCAAATTACACAAGACATTTGTAATAGGAGGAGGCTTGGAAATTTGAAACAGAAGAATACAGCCTACGGAGGACAATTTAAGTAATTACCATCTCCAAATCCAAGACACGGAATCAAATTATCGTCATCAAAAGCAGACATCGTTTTCCCGACAATGGATATGGCTTGTTCATAAGGATTGGGACCATTACTGATGTCATGAAGGCTTCGTTTGTTAAATGATCTTGCACCTGTCCATTCATTGCTCTTTGTGAAATCAATTCCAATAATGAGATTGGACGACTCGAGCCCAGCACGAGCAAGAGCTCCTGTTACCTGTAGAAAACAAATTTCACCTTATTATATAGTTTGCAGAATGTAAATATGAAAATGCATACGACCAAGTTCTTATATTTTATCCTTAATACAGTTGCATCAATCGAAGAACATATCCTTCTAAAAACAAAACATGACGAAAACCGACTGTAAACAATGGCTATCAACCAATTAATATTCTGTTCTTCCAACCACAGAAGGCTGAACCCAAGCGAAGCTGTTTCTTTCTTAGAAAATCAAGGTTATAGATGCATGCATGAAACTGGAAATAACATTCGTAAGCAAGAAATAATTTGTTTTCATTCCCTCTCCACAAAATTTAAGGTTAAATCGAAAGTTTTAGTCCCTAAATTTTCATGTTTGTGTTAGATAGATCCTTCAACTTTAAAATTGAAAGCTCAAGGGCTTATTAACACAAAACCGAAAGTTTAGAAATTTATTAGGCACACAGGTACGTATTAAAAACATTTGAAAATTCAAAGGCCTGATCAAACTTGTAAATTAACAAAGTTTAATATTGGAAAACAATTTCCCATTAGGAACATTCCATTCTATCTTACCTCCTCGAAGGACTTGTAATCATCAGCAATTCTCGAGTATCGTCTGTCGAACTTCTTTCTATTATCAGCAGCAGCACCACCATGGTAGTTTTCAGGAGGAGGGTAATACTGCGGTGAGGAAAATGATTGCTGTGGCACATAACTCTGACTTTGCTGACCATATGGGGGTCGAGCATATGTTTCCTGAGCATAAGGGGTTTGAGTATATGGGGATTGAGCATATGCATCACTCCATGACGACGATGAAACGGACCGAACCGATGGTTCCTCCCTTGAATTTGCAGCCCCCATCAATTTCAGACTCTATCAAATTCTTCCAAATCTTAAGAACCTCTTCTTGTCTAATGAACAAAGAAAGACGATGAAATCAGATTCTTCCAAATCTTAAGAACCTCTTCTTGTCTAATGAACAAAGAAAGACAATGAAATCAGATTCTCTTCCAAATCTTAAGAACCTCTTCTTGTCTAATGAACAAAGAACAACGATGAAATCAGCCAAAATTAATCAAAATCCTCAGCTACAAGGCAGATACCAGTATATCCAAAAGGGTTTAATCCAAGTCCAACTGGCCAAAGAGAAATTATTCTCTCTCACAAATGAAGTTTTAAAGAAGATTTCAAGCTTTTATTGAAATCAAAATACGTAGCTATGTAATTCCATTACGCCACGCCTCTTCACCGACTTAAGGAAAAGAAAAACAGAAAAAACGAGGTATGAAAACCAGAAACGTTCAAACACAAGAGCCTGCCGCCGCCTGTCAAAAATGGAAAAAGAAAAGGCCAAAGAACGGAAATGAATTACGAATATGCGAAGTGATTAACATGCAATTAAACTACACGATTTGATTTGACAAACTCCCTTAAATCTTTTCAACTTCAACGTTCAAAACATTCAACCATTAACAACTTCCAATCCTCAGCGCCAAAAGAAAATAAGTTGAAAATTTCAAACTCACGAGTCACACAACCCAAAGCCAATCAGTTCAAATCTACAGAATCATGAAACCATCAAACGCCATTAAAAAGACCAGCAATCCTAGACAAATTCATCATCAGATTCTTCACCCTATTTCCTAGAACGCAATGAAAAAGTAAAAAAGAATCTCGAAAAGAAACGAAAACGAAATCCGTACCATCGTCTCGGTTTCTCAAATTGCTTCCCCTATCCGCGATTGATGGGAAAATCCACTTCACTTCAAAGCAGGAACGCACAACGAAGATACTAAAATCAAATCCTTCTGCAAGAAAAGAGAAAAAGAGAAATGGAAAGTGGAACGGATTTTTGACTTCCAGTTCCAACGGGAATCTTGAATTTGTTAATCTGGTAAAACGATTCCTTGATTAGGCATTTAAGCGGAGTTTCGTAACAAAGCAATGTCGAATCATTGCTTGAAATTAGTGGGATTCGAAGACTTTGGCGAACGAAAAAGAAAAACAATCATGGAATTCAATCAGTTCGCCATTGAACAAACGACGGGGTTTTCCCGGTTGTTCTTTCTAATAAAAAAAAAAAAGAAAATAGAATCTTCATTATTAGTCACTTTCATGTCAATTATAAACGTAACCGCACGTCTCTTATTAAATAAATAAACACAATGTCAGGTCTTATCAAATATTTTATGATCAGATATTATTTTTATTTTTTTAAAAATATTTTATTACTTTAAATCTTTAATAACTATTTCAAAACTAAAATTCTCCCTCCTTTCAAATGCCAATTTTTCCCCAAAATTCTAATAAATTTTGTTTGGAAATAAATAAATAAAATTTAAGGATTTTTTTTATAATTAAAATTTTTATTTCATTATGAATTTAGAAGGGTAAGCACACTATCATTATCTGAATTTCCATCGTCTTTTCTTGCTTTTTTTTTATTTTTATTATTATTATTATTGATATTGGTTCACCGCTAATAAATATTGTCATCTTTAGACTTTCTCTTTCGGGCTTCTCTTCATTGCTTTAAAAGCTAATAAAAGGTTTCCACGCCTTTACAAAAGGGTGTTTCCTTCTCCTCCCGAACCCATGTGAGATATAACAAAAATAGTTTTTATTTGGTCTTTTAATTTCATGTGCATTTAAATTTTGAGTTTGAATTTATATTTAGTTAAAAAAATTTAATATTGACAGAAAATTAACTAAAATAAATTTAATTACAAAGAATTAAAATTGCATTAGTAGTAATAATGTAAATTTTGTAACTAGGCCAATAATGCATTAAATCCAGCTGGGCATAGAGTTGTCTGACACGTGGAAATGGATATGTTATACTTTGCCAACGAAGCAAGAGGTTGCGTGGATTGCTTCCCATACTTCACAGACAAGCAAAATCCCATCCCCAAGTTTGTTTGTTTTTTTTTTTTTTAATTTCATTATCTTATAATATAAAGTATCATTTTCAAAATTATTATTTAAAAAAGTTAATATTAGGTCTTAATTATTGAAAAATTACTATTTGACTTGTCTACTTGCTATTATAAACCGAGTCATTATCACCCTTAATTTACTAAGAATTCGAGTTGGGATTGCTTCGTAAGATATACGATTTTACGAGCTAGATCATCTCTAAAGAGTCTATTGTCGACTATACTTAAGGGTTAAGACGTTCGGGACCAAATAGACATCAACCTCAAATTTCTTGAATCATTATGTTCTTTCCAAATAATAAGTATTATCATTAGGGTTACACACGGGTTTGTTAGCTTAGTGACTCGAACAACCCAAATAGAGTTCACAACTCAACTCAACCCTTAGTTGGATCGGATTGTTAGGTTATTTTTTTTTATTATTATCTTAAAAAATAACATTTACATGTCAAATATCACTAATTGTATCGTAACAACTTAAATATTCTTTTTTTTTTTTTAAGAGTACGGTAGGGTTGGGTTGGATTATAAACCTATTTTTAGGTTGATTAGGTTAACCCGACCAAAAAAACTATAATCCTACATACCAAATTTATTTTTTTCAGCTTTTTAAAAATTCGACCGAACTCGAACCGGAAAAAAGAAAAAAAAAATATAACCCAATTCAACCTTTATGGTTTAGATTGGTAGTCTCGATTAGTCGAATTATCAGGTCATATAAACTCTTCTCATCATTATTTATTTTAGTATAAAAGCAAGCATAACATTATATATGAACTCATTAAAGTATCAAAACCTAATAGATAATATGAATATTATTCACATTTATTGTATATCATGTTAGCCTTAGTTAAAAATGATACATGTCATTTTAGTCCTTCCTTTTATTAAAACTATTTTTAAAATATAAGGGTATTTTTGAGATTTTCGCATAAGTTAAAGAATTTTTTTTTTTTTTTTTTTTTTTTTTTTTTTTTGGAAAAGCCATTCATTTGACCAAAACTTATTTTTCAAAGATTAATTATAAAAGAAAAAAAAAGTATTCTTCTTATATTAGTTTAACTATTTAATATACTTTTTGTTATTAGTTTAAGTAAATTATACTTATTTATTATTTTTATCGGTTAATTTTTTAAATTATTAAGTACCCATTTTGGTTTGTGGTTACTTTAATTTATTCCCTTACCATAAATTAAATTTAAAATTGGTAAAACAAACCCAAAATTTTGTTATTAAATATTAATTATTTAAAATTTCAAACATTAAAGTTTTAGATATTTTCCGCTCAGCCATTATTTAATAATGTATTCTTTTCCCTTTGAGTCAGGAAGTTCAAATCCTCAATACTTCCTCTACTATTTAACAACTTCGGGCCAATTACTGCGAACCTCCAGGATAAGGGAGTAGGCACTATTAACTAAGTCAAGCCTACTACTATTTAACAACTTCGAGGCAATTAAGCACGAGCCTCCCGGACAAGGGAGCGGGCACTATTAACCAAGTCAAGCCTACTACTATTCAACAACTTCGGGCCAATTAAGCACAAGCTCCCGGACAAGGGAGAGGGCACTTTTAACCAAGTCAAGGCTACTACTATTTAACAATCTAATTAAGCACGAGCCTCCAAGGTAAAGGAGCGGGCACTATTAACCAAGTCAAGTCTAGTTCTCGCCGATAGGCGAGGGTAGCTTGCTTCCAAACCTTGCCAGCTATACTAAATAGTTGTGGCCACGGCCACGAACCTTAAGCACTTGTACAATGCTCAAATGACTATCTTAATGGGTTAAGACATAAGACATATATATCCCCAATCCAAAAAGATTGAAAGTTTTCATGATGGGTCATGGAAATGTTTTCAGATTCTAAATTTACCACCGAACACAAATAATAACTAATAACGTAGAAAATTCCTAATGTTCAAGTTCTTGTTTTTCCAATCTGTGTGAAAACTTACCTGAATAGAGGGATTATACGACTCTTTCTTATGTGCTATAGTTTTCTTCAAGTCCTAACAACATCGACAAAGATTTTCTAACATAAAGTGATACATTAAGAACAAATTTGAAGGTTTTAAAAGAACAGGATCACAAGTGAGAAATGTAATAAATATTATGAACCAATCTATATATCCATGTCTACAAAAGAAGGGAAAAGAGAGAAAAACAGAAGCCTGCTCAATGAAGATTCAAATTGGCTATATATAAGCTAGCTAAAGCTAAGAACATTAAGGAGGACGATAAAAATGCATGGTGATTAGATAAACATAAAGTTAAGCTGGAAAAATTGGCACCTAGAGCGATGAAGCATACCGAAAATGGCGAGGCATCCGTGCACGCCTAAGCAAGCAAGATATAGTTGGATTATTGAGGAATACCTGAAGAAATGTGCCTCACTTGGAGTTTTTCTTACTCTTCTTCTTTCTTGAAGCAAAGCTGCTGGGTCCAATCTCTATGGACATTCTTTTGGTCCTGTGATCATAAACGTATTCGGTAAGTAAACGACGATCACTGTGAAACTTGACATAATTTGGAACAGAATGGGAAAAAAAACGACTTATGTATTAGCTATAGGTTTCTTTAACGTACCGGTTAGACAATTCAACTGCCTCATTTTCACCATGTTTATCTTCATCTGACTTGTTTTCACCATGTTTATCTTCATCTGACTTGTTTTCACCATGTTTATCTTTATCCTCATCGTCTAAAGAGAAAAGAAAATCAAATTTTAGTACAGTAAAATTGTAAGTAGCCATAAACAGAATGTCAGGAAACATTTTCTCCATTTATCAGAAGCAGCATACGATTACCCAAGAAAGAACAATATATAAGAAAACTAAAATACTGAACTTGAAGAGATTGGACTAGAGAACCAAACCAATCCAAACTAATATCAATTGCATTCGAAGTTAATGTTAGTTTCACTTTCAGTTGATTTAGATGACTGCAGTTTCATCTTACATCCCTACCTAATCTTGGGCAGCAAAGGCCAAGATTCAACCCTATATGTTACCATGCTCTATCTTTGGTGGGAAGAGGATCTTCCAGTTAACTAAAGGGAACGTGTAACGACCCGCCTTTCGAGATTTTGAGTCGCGGACCATTATTTATTGACATGAAATATTTGAAAATATGTATGTAATTTAAAACTTTTAAACGTGCATGCACATAAAGAAAATTTAATACAACATCGTTCAAAAATACATTTCAAACGTTGTTATATGCAAATTCCACTAAATGCAAGTGTCCGTTGTAAAGTCCAAGGCACAAGCCCCCAACAACCTCATGCCCGTTTATCTGCTTTCATTGCAAATATTATCTTGGGTACGCTTTAGGACTTGGTGCCCTTGAATTTGAAACTGTCTCCTGATGGCGACTGAAAAAGTAACTCTCCTACATGACAATCAATGTAGACATAGCTCTCTGCGAGCAAGTCCATCCCCAGAATAACATCAAAGTCAGTCATGTCGATGATTATCAACGTCACCTCAAACTAGCATCCTGCCAGAATTATTTTTCTCTCATTTTTCTCTCACTGATTCTCTCCTCAGCCAGCATTATCGTGTCAGCTTGAGTAGAAACTGTTAGACTATACTCTAAAGACTCTATCCCAACTAGTACTTGTCTAACAAAAGTAGTGGATAGAAAAGAATGCATTGATCCAGAATCAAACAAGGCAAATACATAATAGCCAAGTACTTGTCACCACGTTTCCTGCATTTGTGGTTCAGCGAGTTGTGGTGGCGTGAACCATGCCTCAAGCCTGTACTTGCCCGCCTCGGTTCCCCTGGTTCAACCTTGAAGGTCGGTCGGTATCTGCCCTTCCCTTATGGGGGCATTCAACTACCCGATGCCCGCTCTTTCCACAGTTGAAACAAGCCCCTGTCCCAGCCAAGCACTCCCCACCGTGGTCTTTGTCACACGGCCTACATTTTGGTCTCCCAACGGTTGGAGGCGATTGTCGGTCGAATTGTCTTCTCGGCCCTTGCTGCTGGTCAAACTGTCTCTGTGGGTTTTGTCACTGGTCAAACTGCCTCCTAGGAGATTGTTGCTGAGACCTGGAGGAGTTTATGTTAAACTTCCTCTTATTAATGGAGCCTTGCTGATTTGTTGGGCCCCCTGGTGTTTCGACAGTTGGCATTGTCGATGACAGTAGCG